GGGAAAGAGGGAGTAGGCGGCGGGCGAAGGCAGTAGGTGCCTCCATGTTATGCAGCCCCACCACCGCCTCTATCCTGACCAACCGGCTGTTTACTGTTTGGCCTCCCGGGATATCGATCCCAGTAGCGTAAGAACCGGCAGCCTAGGGCCACCGAGAGATCGGCACACGTCGAGCATTTCGTCGCGTCGACGGTTGCCAACCGAGAGACACCGAACCGAATCTCCCTCTCTCCCTCCCTCTTTCCCCCTCCCTATCTCACTCTTTCTCTCTCCAACTTCTCCCCTCTTTTTTTTTTTGTTTTTTTTATCACGCTGCACTCACAGACCTCGCAGACTGTCCGCGAATCGACGACTTGGATTCTCCCGTCCCTGCCCCTAATTGGGAATACCGTTAGGCCATCGCGACCAAGAAGAGGGCCACTTGACCCCGCGAGATCGATTCGCGACTTTGAGTTACGCGTTTTTCAGCGCTTAAGGAGGGACGATACGATATGTAACGTCCGAAGAGAACAGCGCGCCAGATGGTTTGTGGGGGAATGAACGAGACTTGCAACATCGGGAAATTAGATATCTTGGAGAGCGAAACTGGTTTTTGGGGGATGTGCGTGAGGAGGTCAGGTGGATGGGAGGTGGATACCTGGGATTGGGAAGGGAATAATCGTTTATGAGAGCGATGGAACGATGCTGGTGTATTTTTGGGAAGATTGAAGTTATGTATTCGTTAGATGAACATTTTGGTACAGGATAATGAAGGAGGGGGAGTCGTTGTTTTATAGAGATTATTGTTTGCAATATTTTTCTCCTGTGGATTCGATGGAAGGATATTGATATGGTTGAAAAGATTGAGACACGCGAAAAATGTAACAGATAGGATTTTAATGTACTGATCGTAGAGATCTTTCGTATGAATATAAAAAGCCATAATTTTCACGCAGTATGTTAAAATGTTTAATTGTCTGCTAGGAAAAGGAGAGACGATCCGAGAATCGTATACGAGTTACCGAGTCGTTAATTAAAGCGTATAATCATAGGAAGGCATAGGAGCAGGATCAGAGATGAAGAAGGAAGAGGCGTTTATCGAGAGGATCGTGGAACGGTTCATGATATGTTCAGAAACGGAAGCAGGAGCAGCCATTGTTGTGCTAAGAGGGTCGAAGAATGAATCTTGCCGCGAATAGATTTCGGCTGGGATTAAGCCGTCCCACTTTCGATTCCATTCGATGGCATCGTCGCTGCCGCGACTTTATTGTGCCCGCCACTTCGAATAACCTTCGCTGCCAGACCTCGCAATTTCCGCACGTGCAAATTTTCGAATATCCAGACGGATCACAAGGCGCGGCACAATATTTTAACGTTTTAAAACGAACTTTTCCTACGTCACCGCGAGTCGAGGGTTGCGATATCTCCATTCCTACATCCACCACTCGTCGCGACAAAGGGAGACCTACATTCCGAGAAATAAAAATGGAACGGTTCGTCTTGATCTTTCATTGTCCGGGCTATTGTTTCGTCGGATTTCTAATCGTTCGTTTTTTGATCCGAAGAAAATAATAATGGGATTACTTTAATCGATATTTAATTGAGATGCAAAAGGTAAATTTAAAAAAAATTTAACTATGTATTTAAAAATATATATATAAGAATTATTATTAATCTCTTTTGCACGTAAAATTAAAGTTATTAATTTTTCTAATTACTTTTAGATGTATTAGCAAAAATTAATAAACGGATTATTTTTTTTAGAATCTATAACATTTAATTAATTTGTTTCGTTTAATTACTATAAAATTAAAAAATTTTAATATAATCGAAAGTTCGAAACCCGAATGATTTTGCAATGTCCACACGGCGCATGCCCAAAAAGATGTCCTATGCGGATGATCTTCGACTTGTATCGGTACACGTGTTCCGCAGCGTGTCGAACACGCGGTATCAGCAATGCAATCTTTCGATCCTTCGCATCCGCGCCCAATTCTCTTCGCTACTTGCCTCATGTTCCCTGCCCGATGCCTCGAGTACGATACACGATTATCATTACACATGGATCATACTCAATTGATATTAAATCATCGATTATTGATATATAATTATTCATTGATATTCATTGATAAAAGGAAATTATCATTTTTAATTGGAATTAAAAAATGAAATTAATAAAATCTATGAATTATATTAAAGTATTAAAGAGATATGAAGATTAAAAACGTGTAAATCTTCAGCATTTGTCCAAAAAACGTTGGTCACTGAACCGCGAAACTGGGTTATTCGACCATCAAACGTCGCGGCTGGTTAATTCAACGCGAAAAAACAAAGGCAACTTATTGTTTTCCTTAGTTCTTTGAAGTCCGTCCAAATTAGCCTAATTGATCTTAAGATAAAAAAAAAAGAATAATTGTAAAGTAGCATAAAATATAGAGCGAGTGCGTCATTTATAAATTTAAATGAAAATTATGAAATTTTTTATCAATATGATTATAAAATCTAATAATATTTCAATGGAAATTATTTAAAACAAAAAAAAAATAAATAAATGAAGACATACAAATTTTGTAAGATGTTTGATATCATCAAATGAATCACAGATTAAGATTTAAGAGTAGTTGCATGTGTAGTTGCGTATAATCACGTGGTTTGTTTATTAATAAATCTACGCAACTATTATTTAACTATTCCTATTCCTTCTATACATACAGTCGTGTAATTTAATCTTATAAATATTTACAAATTGTACCTACTGGTGTAAAAAAAATTGTAGACAGAATATATATAATGACAGAAAAAAGTGGAAAGCTTAGAAAAAAGTGGAATAAGTTAAAATTTTCGTTACCATTATAAAAATTCAGAACAGTATATAGTAAATGTATATTCTTTCGCAATTTAATAATTAAATTGTTATAAACGAAAATCAAAGTACAAAATAAAAAATAAATGTGCAGTAATAGCTATTTTCTAACCCAATATTAACATCTTCCGCTATTGAAAATTACATGTAAACTGATATACTATTTATCACAAACAAAATTTTACACATGAAATCGTTTCATATATACAATTAAAAGAACATTAAATAATATAGTATAAAATATATCTTGGAGCTATGTGTATAACTTTTATCGTATATTTCTTTTTCCAAGATTAAACTTTCATACTAAAATAATTTAAAACATTCTCTTTTTTTAAGAGGCAATCCAATTTTAATCGATTTACTTACGATTTATGTAGCTTCTGATCCTAACCTCAAATCATCTATTTATTCAGTTACATAGTCACATACAAACACTATCACTGAAAACACATATGACTCATATTTTATTTAGAAATAATTCACAATCTACTAAACAAATAAATCACGATCTTCCTGTGATCAACAGTATTGTTAAAATATCCTCGTGGCAATTGCACAAAGGAAAGCACTGGAAAGAGAGAGTGAAAGTATTATTCGACATCGTTGTGAAGCGATTCTGAAGAAGAGGACCAATAGCAAAGAGATTCTCCTTTCTCCTCAGAAAAGATCGAAGGAAGCCGTGTCAGGTTAGGAAAAGAAGCCACTATTACGCGGCACGGGACGAAAAGGCAATCTGTCGACTAAGCCGCTTCTTATTACTTTGCCACCATCAACGACTACCGGTGGAATCGGCGTGAAAACGTATACCTTCGTATACTATGTAAATGCGCGCCATCTCGTGGCTCTCTAACCTGTTTCCTCTATAAGTTTATATACAAAGGTGAATGTGTGTATATACAGAGAATACCTAGAGCGTTTATGCGACGCGTATCAGCGTGACTGCATTCGCATTGTACGTTCAAATGGTCCATGCCACCCACGACCAAGTCGTGACTTTCCTCTTTGCGCGACGCGTACAAGCTTCATGCGAAGTTTCTTCGCGCAGGTGCATGCGCAGATCTGCAATTTATGAACTGAATAAGTACGTTTGTTTTTTTTCGCGAGACGATTTTCGTTTCGATGAAATTGATGTGAAAATTTTAACAAGCTACTGAATTATTATAGAACGTTAATATAGATTTAAATGGACTTTTCTTTCTTTTTTTTCTTGATTGTATAGGTTAATGAAATAAGAAATTATATAAGAGTAAGAGTAAGAATACAATTAGAGTCTTGCTAATTGAATAGGTTATGTCAAATTAACAATTCTAAGAAATGTTTCGTCTTTGTTTTGTTTTTTTAATCAAAGTTAATTATATAAATATTATATAAGAATAAGATATTATATAGAAAGAATAAATTTGAGTTAATTTTAAAAATTTAGAAAATTATTTGAAAATGTTAAATTCATTTGAAATAAAATTAGTCAAATTTGACTATACTTATATTTATATTTATGAATCTATTTTATGTATCGAATTATAATATAATTCTTAAAATATAAAGGCACGTGGAATGAAATGGAATTTTGAAAAATATATTTCATAATCAAAATCGCGGAACGATAGCTCTCGTAGAATCTATGCGAATGTAAGTACATCCGGTACTTCTAGTCAATGAGTACTAGTCGCTTTCACCATGCAAAATTTTCATTGTTTTGTTGAGTCTGACAAACGTACGGGAGTAATTGTAATCATTGCTACATGAAGCAACAGTTTACTAATTTCCGGTTTTCATGTATGAAAGGATAGCCCGCTTAGACTTTCTCTTGTCTACAAATACTACATGAAAAAATAGTGCATATTCTTTAAAAATACTCCATATCAAAATATTTTTGAAAATATATAAATTATATTTTAAAAATAAAGAAATAAAAGAAAAAGGAACATTTTAAATTTGATAGAATATTAATTTAAAATAAAAAATATTAATTTACAAAAAATTTCTTTAATATTTCTCAAATGAAATTTTCTCAATATCAATATATTATTATTTTTTTATTATTTTCATGATGCATTCATCAAAAATTTAAACAAATTTAATATAATTAAAAGATAAAAATTCAATTTTTTCTTTAAATAGGGATCATAGATAGGTTGAATGTTCGGATTTTCGATCGTTTTCTAATTATCATCATTTTATGCGATCGTTATGATCAATCGAATAGCTGATTAACATCTGACAAAGGAAAATTTCACGTGAAGATCACTGATATCGTTTCTGTTGGGATTCCCTTGACCAGTTTCCGGATACAGGGGAAAAGGAATTTTCTTTTCTCCATTTCGCCACGTGTCTAATGAGGATTCCATGCGATCGGAAGTTCAGGATGCGGAAGTGGATATTTCCTTTTTGTTTACTCGATAATACTTTCAATTAGAGTTTGTTCTGGTTCAATTAGGAATGATTTGAAAGCGAGGAGAAAGTTGATGCACCATCATTATTTCGTCGTTTTATTACATAGCCAACTGAAACAAGATATATAATATAAGGTTCGGCCAAATTGTTAATATAATTAATATAGTATATTAAATGTATAATATATAATTGATAATAATATCCATTTAACATTTTACTTGTATATCTTAAACAGGGATTAAATATTATTAACGAGATTACGTCGTAATTTATCAGATTAAATCAGATCAATAAATTTCACAGTGATACATAAGAATGCATCTTTAATTTTTACCTGTGATGCAAATGAGTTAATCGAATCACCGAAATGAAATGAAAATGTTAAACGGAAGGCGGTCATGGAGGAAAAGCCGTAGGCACGGGATAAAATCGATCGGAGGTCGATGTACTTATACCTGTTCCCAACCGTGTCCATCTATCTGGGAATCTGGTGCTGCGGCGGACCACTCTTCGTGGCGTTGTCGATAAATCACCGATGGTCGTTATTAAAGGACCTCGGGAATCGTCGATCGAGGACAAAGAGGAAACGGGCAAAGAGAGATTTCTACACCAGGAATCATGACGACGACGACAACGACGACGACGCCGACGACGACGAGCACGGTGACGACAACGCGAAAGTGAACAAGGATCGTAGATTGCACAATGGGCACCGGCCAACATGATTTTCCATTTAATCTGGGATAAAATATTTATCGGCGTTGCCAGTCGAACGTAATTTTTTAATCGGAATCGCTGTCGAATTTCCGTGGCAAACGTGCTTTTGTCTCAAATAAAGGAAGCTGAAAAAAAAATGAAAATGAGAGCAGATTTTTTTTGCAAAATGACATCTAGTTTTTCTGTCGATGAAACGTCGCGTAATTGGGATGATTATTTTTATCTTTTAGCTTGTTAATTGCTTTGACAAGTTAATCTGAAGAGATCAAAAATTTTGAAAGAGAATCGTATATGCGATATTAAATTAAAATTATGTACTTTGCGAATCTTTATAAAAGTTTATTATACGTATTATTAAGTATTTTTTAATGTTTAAAGAATTTAATTCTAAAAAAATGATTATATGAAAAAAAAGATTATGATACATCTGATTATATCATCCTACTTGAGGCATTCAGGATCAAGCAAAGGGAATCAAAGCTAGGAAGCTTGAGATGTTGATTAGTGTCTAAACACTCGAACGATCTCAATCCGATCTAACTCGAAACAAGCCGAACTGTCCGGGAGAATCGTTCTCTTTGATCGAAGTAAAGGCAGAAATTGCACGATGAAAGGAGCAAAGGGACGACGCCTCATATTGTTGGTTACCAAAAGTACAGTCGAGCTTTGTTAGCTTCATATTGCTGATGAGAGATCGTATCATCGCGCCAACTATCGTCAAGTTCTCTTTTCTTTCCTTCCACGCTAGTCCATTTCACCTTCTTTCGTAGATGTTCCTGTTCTTTCTTCCGAGACGCAAACACGATACGGCACATCATTGACCTATCTATCTTTGTGCAAAGCAAAATCTCGATTTTCTTGCGTCTGATAAATATCATGCTAGTGTAAGCATGGAAAAAATTTTAATACATACTTGGTTTAAAAGAGTTTCGTGAATATAGTTGACTTTGATTTTAATTACGTGTCGATCTTCTGATTAATCCCTTACATGTTTGTTAGAAAGTTGATGCATTTGAATTTCTTTGCGGTTAAATTATTTGCAACTAAAAAACGATATGTTTATGAGAAGATTAATGATAGAAAAAAATAATCAAAACTAACATACCATATTAAAGTGATCCAAAAAAGATTCGCATAATTGACATACGATGACAAGACTAAATAGAGCCGACGTTTTCGATCCTGTCTTCCGGAGAAATCACGGTTAATTCTGGTACATGGTCGAGTCATTGGTCCCAGAAAAGACAAAGAGGTCGGGGCACAGGGAGGAAAAGAACGCGGGAGATGATTCATCCGCGGCGTGTTCCTTTCCAGCGCGCAATTGTCATCAATTTCGGGTCTGGCCGTTAGGTGTGGTGTAACAATAAACGGCGTTCGTGCAACGAATACATAAAACATCCTCCTCTTCTCTTTCCCTCGTTCCTTTCTTGATCGTAAACTCACCGTGCATGACCATCCTCGGAAAGAGAAGGCTACTGTCGGTTCTGTCGTACGACACCCAAGGAACCGACTGCGATTTTCTTGGAACGTAGCGATTAACTCTTGCGATTTTGTGGTTACTTTCGCCTTAGTTGGATTTCAAGTATTTCTCGATTTAATTTTAAAATTAGCGTTTTCGTTACAAGGTTTGTGTATGCGATTTTAGTTCTTGTTAAAAGAATTTTTTAATTTAAGAATAAAATAAATATAAAAATAAGAGAAACCTTCGTGTTTACACACAAATTTTCACACAAACTAACCTAAAAATTTATCCGCTACTTAACTGTATTATTGTATTACTATATTACTGTATTATTATCAAATAATCTGAAAGTAAACTTTATTCGAAAATAAGTTTCTCCCAAAATTCTAAGCAAATTTTTTCTACAATTTAAAGTAGTTGAACATTGCACAAGCACATTCGTTCGAGCATAGCCATCCATTGGCGTTTCCAAACGCTACGTATCTCGAGTTACAGCGATTAAGCGCTTCGACAAAGCATCAAAGCGTTACGAAGACTTTCGCGCAAAACGTGTGCCAGGTGAGTATGAGAGACGATATCCGAAAATAACATAACTTTCCCTCTCGAAACGAACCACGCATACAAAGTGGCGGCGTGTCCCGTACTAATAATCGTTTTCCGGGCTGAAGTGGCACCGGTTTCGCGAAACTTCGTTCTTCTACACACATATTTGCGCATGCGTATTGCGTTCTCTCGTATAATCGGGCTAATGCCACCAGAGGGATCGGAAGTTCATGCAAAACTGTGAATTTTACATGTAATCATGATTACAAAATAAAACAAAATAGAGCGGGAGAATACATTTAGAAATAATAAACAATTCGTTATTTGAATAATTTGATTTGAAATTTATTTTAAATTTTAAAATTATGAGAATCGAAAAAAGATATCGAAAGAAACAAACGATTTTGTCTTTCTTAAAAAGAGAATAGGAAAAGAAACGGATTACGGAGTAAACTATAATTCAAACTCGTAACGTCTTTTTCGATCGAACAGTTTTATCGATAGAGCTAAAGAATACAAAACCTGGGTACGACGAATGAAGATGATGAGCAGATCAGAATGGCTGTCCGTGTAATTAAGGAGAGGAACCATGCGATTCATCGTGGGTAGATCAATTATTCTATACGAGTTCGCGAATTAATGCGATACTCTGCTGAACAATGGAAACGATTTTTCGCGTGGGCGGTTAATATGAAGATACGTCTCAACTTCGATATATCGGAAACGTTGTCGTCACCTAGGCCGCCGTGGGCGTTGATACAAGCACGCAAACCTTACAACGTTCACGAGCGACCAATAAACCGACAACATTACAACCGCACCGGTTGTCGTTTTCGATCTCTTTTTATCGACGCGACAGATCAGCGACGAGCGGCTCGAAATATCGAAGAATTTGAATTTGTTCTTTTGTTGCTCCTGGATGAATATGAAGATTTGCGTGGAAGATTTCGAAAATTCTGTTTTTTTTTATTTTTTTTTCCTTTTTTTATTCTATTTCTTTTTTTTATTCTTCTCTTTTTGAAAAGAAGATAAGAGGAATATTTTGAAATACAATAGATGACTATATTAAACCGTATCTTGGTCGAGTATTTTATTGCTGCAACTATTATATATTGTTAGTTCTATATGCAAGATGTTAAGATATATATAGAACATTTTTTGAAAATTAATTCTTGATACTAAATTTTTTTAACATGTAATATGTTTATTTAATGTCATAACGAAATAAAAGTATTTTATGTTTTATTTAATAAAAGTATTTTATGTTTGCAACTTAATATAAAAATTTTTTTATTTTTCTATTGGCAAACAATTAAAGAAACATAGAATAAAGAAAAACATAGAAAATCTTTTGAATCTATACATAATATGAATATAGTGCAATATTATACATCGTGGCCATGATTTTTTATAAATAATAAAATATCAAAAAATGTAGTTTTCAGATAATAAAAGAACTGTCAAAATTATTGTACAAGTATGAAATTCCATTTTATTGCAATTTTTACTAAAATTACTTTTCCAGTTTGGTTGAATGAGGAAGATATGAAAGGTATAGTAGATAGAAAAGAAAGTTTCATTGTTCTTTCCTAAAGAACAAAATTTTTTTTAATATGTAGATAATAGCACTGTTATTAGTAACAATGTGGCACACTTTAAATGGTATCGTTTTACGTGCACCGAAAAAATTTTACATTTTCGTGCTCTCGTTGCAACCGTGGAATAAATCCAATATGTGTAAACCATGGTTTTACAAAATAAACGCAGAACGAAACGCGTATAAATAAACAATAAAAATTTTTTGAAAGCCAACTCGACCGATTCTTAATTCACATATTCACTAAATTTTGTACAAATCTCTTTCCACCAATAGATTTATTGAATGACAATTAAGAAATTTTTATCAAAATAAAAAAGAAAGGAAATTTTTTCGAAATAATAATATTTAAAGCACTTTTCGTAAATAACAAATGCGTATCTTACGCATTGAATGCGTAAGAATATTATATTTTCATCGTCGAAGGTAGCAAGCTTTCCACAGAGTCTCGCTACGGATTCAAGTTACTACATAAATTACATAAAAATATACACGTTGCGCCGTTCTCGTTGTTACAATGTTCCAACGGCGCATTGTACGTCGAAAAAAAGAGGAAATGAAAAATAAAAATAAAAAAAAAAAAAGCAGAAAACGCTGGCAGGAAGAGGCTCTGAAGGATCCCAAAAGAGAAAAACGAGCGTTTGAACTTTCATGAAAATCCAGCATGTCCTGACCATATGGCCGGCGTATCCATCAACCGCAAAAGGCAAGCGAAAAATTAACGCGGTCGTTTCGTTGGGGCCGAGGATACCGCAATAAAATAAAAAAAAAAAAAAATAGAAAAAACAAAATTTGTCGCCCTCTGAATAGCAATTTTCGCGCGTCATACGAAATTCTACATGCATAGGATATTACACTTAACGTTTGGTATCGACCGGTTCGTGTTTTCGCGAATATCCCAGAATAATCAAACAGATGACTATTTTTTCGCTGTTGTCATCATGCTACGCATGTATTATTCAGATAGAATACAAATTCATTGGAACACGCGTTGTTCGTTCGAACGATTTTGATTTGTCATCCGAGTTCGCGTGAATTGTTGTTATTTTTGATATTGAAATATTAGCAAGTTTATTCGCGTGTTTAAAAATATGAATCATTTTTGAAGCCATTTTTTGAAAAATTCTTTATTTTAACACCGAAATGTATCATATCGTTCAAAATGGATTGTGTATAACAAAGAGTGTGTATCATTAAGTATTCAATTTCGAAATTCTATTAAAATTTTTTCTTTCCCTCTTAAAATATATTGCAGAATGATTGACGTGAATAACGGGATTGACAAAAACGGAACAGATGATTCATTTTAAGAAAACAATGATACTTTCCTGTTCCGAAAAAGTATTAACATCCTTATTCATGCGCAAAAATGGTGGCGTATAGGTTTTGTTAAGCCTACATTCAAATATTTCGGCTACTTTACGTTTAACATCAATTCTTCAACCAAGGCCATTTACCAATAGTGAATGACGTCATAGGTGACCTCTTATTTCGTAATCCAATGTAAGAGGCGACTTTGACTTTTACCTGATATGTTGCAGACTCATACATGAACAATACGGAATACGAAGTAAACGAGACAAATTATTCCATTCAAATTTTATTTAAATTCTATCTTTCAAAAGTTTTAACAAAATCTTTCAAAAGTTTTTAACAACAATCATATCTTGTATAAATCATTTGTATTTTTTTTTCCTTTATCGTTTCATTATGAAATCAATTTTTTTATCAATTTTATTGTTGGCATTAAAATTGACAATTTTCCAGAAAAGTGAAGTATATCTGTTCAATCTCTTACTGTTTCAAATTTTCCATCGCATCTCTGGCGAGCAACGGCAGCGAGTACATATCGAACGAAAAATTCGTTCTCATCTCGACCATACAACATACACGCGTAGGATGTATAAGAAGTCATTACTCTGGAGATTTCTAGTGTGCGTAGGTGGAGATTTAATAATCTAGTAATTACCCATCCCTGACCGTCTAAAACCCTAATCACGATGTCTTACGATCAATTCGATTTTTCAACGAGAACCCAAGTTGAACCCCGGCCAAGGAAGCCGCCAATAATCTTAATAACAGTAATAACAATACATGAATTATGCATCGTCACATCGATGTAACACGCATAAATGGCGAGAATGTTTCGCGATCTCGCCGCCTGGATCGTTGTTCGTTGTCTCGTTGTTGCATCAGGTTAGGAGAGTAACGATTAGTCGCGA